CATCAGGCGGGTTGTTCCCCACCATATCAATTCTTATACTACAAAAAAGTTCCCCCATCTTTCCTCCAAATTCTTGAAGTCCCAGTCGAAACACTAATTTCGGGACTAAATTCTTTCTAACGGGGGGGATGATGTGACAACCGTCAATTTTGGCCAAGTCAAAGTCAACTAAAGTCAACAAGTCAAACCGGTCAACTCATCTAACCTTGCACATTAGGGTTTCCATTATGTTTCTTATCGAACAATCGCAATCTTAATACAAAGTATCACTTAGAGTTTTCACGTGTTCGGAAATTCTAAACCCTAATCAGGGCAAGTGTGATGAAAACTACTCGATAAAACATTATTCCTTGACCCTCGGGGGGCATATAACCATCATAACAAGACTAACGAGGTTTACGAACCTTGAATACAGAGCCAAAACACTTCAAAAAGGGTCACAAAAGAAGTCTCTCTCAATCTCTTTCACTCTAACTCTCCCAAATCTCACTCTGTATGGGAAATCTCTCCAAGTATGTCAAATCTCTCCCAAATCTCTCTCTGTATGAGAACATCTTCCAAGAATGTGAAATCTCTCCCAAATCTCTCTGTACTGAGAAATCTCTCCGAGAATATGAAATCTCTCCAAATTCTCTCTGTATGAGAAATCTCTCCAAGAATGTGAAATCTCTCCCAAATCTCTCCAAGTATCTCAAATCTCTCCCAAATCTCTCTCAAAACCTCTTTTGATTTATTTTAACCATTTGGGGCATCCCGACACTTGACTTGGTGAAAAACCATTCGAAACGGGAAGATACATTGGAAATTAGCCTTTTAGGGCCGAAGTCCCTCTATAGGGACCAAACCTTCCTTGAGTCGAAGCCCCAAGGAACCAAAAACGAAGTCCCTTAAGGAACCGCAGCCATCGGACCGCAATGACTAAGGACTGGAACTACTGAGGACCGAGGCTGCTGAAGACCGCAGCGCTGAACCGCACCAGCAACTGGAGCACCGCACCTGACCCCGCCTCCGATCCCTTCGGATGAGTCCGCCTGCGGTACCTGCTCGGACCGAAGTCACCTTCCCCTCGGATCCAATGCACCAACCAAACCACCCTTCCGGTTCTAATGCTGCTAAGACCGAAGTCCCTCGCCCTGACTTCGGATTTTCCGTTTTTCACTCGGTTTTCGACCATTACTCCGTTTAAGCCCGTTTTTCACTATTTTGGCGTGGGATTTTCACCCAAAATCATGTTTTAACATATAAAACCCCATACTTCATGAATAATCACGTTTTGAGTGTAAATCTTATCCAAGAAGAGTGGGTGAAGTACTTGAGGTGGAGTGTTGACTTTACTTTAGTTTATGACACAAGCAACCACCCACACCCACTCCATGACCAGCCCACACCCCCCCCCACCATACCTGGTCATTCATCGTCCTTTTCCCATCATTTCCCAACCCCATTCCTTGTAAGGCTGACATCTATCCTCTCTATAACACTCTCTCTCATTTTCTCATTCTTCCACCAAAGATTTAAACACATTTTCTCTCTCAATTCTCTCACTAAAATTCGAGATTCAAGGGCCTTCTTCCAAGCTTTTCTTCCACTTTTGGTAAGTATATTCATCCTCCATAAAATTATTTCACTTCCTTCTACTCAAATCATAGATATTTTACACAAACATCATCACATTCATGTTAGATCTTCGAACCTTCAAGGCATCTTCTTAGTGTTCTTGAGTTGAACACTACCTTTCTCCATCATCCATCTACTAAAATCACTCAAGGTGAGTTCATACCCCTATCTTTTCATGTTTTTCTTAAGTTCTAAGGGGGGGGGGGGGGAATACAAGTTAAAACACCAAGAACACAACTAAACTCATTTAACAGCCTTCATCAGAAAAGTTCATCTCCATTCACGGACTGTTTTGGTCAACTTAAACATTTTATTTTTCAAAACTGTATTAGGTGCAAATAGTTCAGGTTCATACCTTTAAAATGACTACTTGCACACCTCCATACGATTTATGATGATTTTTACAAAACTGCCTATCATTTCAAAAACGAATTCTCTGTGAATATGAACATTTTAACACAAGTTAAAGACTTCCAAAAAGCATAATAAAAATTATGAACAAACTAGACACATTTTATGAACTCTCAGAATTTACGGATTCAGTTTTCGACTTCGTATGATTTTTCTAAAACAGTGCAGAACGGTTAAAAACTAGTTAACAGCTTATAACTTTCATAACACTTTGTAATATGTTGAGCAAAGTGTATAACCATAAGTTCTAAATATTGAATGTATTATCTTGTTAGTTTATCATCATAAACTGAAATTTAGTCATTTACGATAAGGTTTACTCATTCATTTCGAACACATATAATAAACTTCAATAAGTATAGTTTATGGATTTTACTACATGAAAAAGGTTTTACTCTCAAAACAAATGGGTTTTTCATATCCTACGTGATAAACTATAATAGTAATAGTTTAAGTATTTCATATCATTATTTATTCAGAAAAGGTGATTTTACTTCCTCCACGGAAGAGGTTTTAATATCAAACTATGTGTAAACTAGTTAACTTAGGTTGTGAGGCAATTCTCTCCCCGTACGTTCGAGTACGGGATCCCAATTCCTGTAAGTTATAACCAGAGTCTCTTGTAGGGAGAGCGTGATAATTGTGTATAGATCTATATTGGGATTGACACCCCACACCTCGCTGCTAGCTACAGCCGGACCGGCAGGTCTGCGGGTGACAAGAGTCATAGTATCTTAACGTCTGAAAAACGTTGTGCAGGTTATTTCTCGTCACAGTATGGTTATAGTGACTAACGTAGGTAGTTAACGATCTTTCAAGTTTACATGGAAAATTCTACTTTGAAAAAAAAAAAAGGTTTTACTTCTAAACTAAACGAGTTTATGTCGATTTAAACTTGCATGAATTACTTTAAGTATGGAAAAATACTTGTTTACTCTCGGTCCTGGGATTTAGGACTACATAACTTTTATAAGGAAAATATTGGATTTTCTTTGGAAACACATTACTAGTATGAACATTATAAGTACAAAACACACACACACACATTCTCGGTCCTGAGATTTAGGACCACATAACTTTTATAAGGAAAATATATGATTTTCTTTGGCTCATATTTCTATCAAAACTATTTCATCTAGAATTGTTAGACTTCAGCTATAATTGATAATTGTATATGATAGAGTTATATAAGAATTTAGTCACAATCGACTTAGAATTGGTGGGCCCGCCTCATCTCCTGTTCCTTGTTTGGTTGTGGACCTAGGGCAGACCCATTATATTCAACGGTTTATTTAACTGAACTTTTATATAACTTATATACGCTGGACGATTATAGAAGGAATCTATGGGTCCTTCTAGGGTTCATTATCGCATAACATAAGAGCATTCATTTCACACTTAACTAAGAAAATATTGGATTTTCTGGAAATCATACTCCATCGCTTTTACAAGGAAAACGGTTTCTTCCGCAAACAAAACTCTTATGAACTCACAAACTTAATTGTTGACATTTTTTCAAAACTACTTGTATTCTCAGGAAATCAGTGAAACAGGAAAACATCAGCATTTTGAGGATGGGACGTTAAATCGTCAAACAGTTCATTTTGTCATCATAATGTAATTGATTTTGAAACATGTAAACATATAGTATGGTGTAATTTTTTTTCAATTATATTTATGATGGTTGTATTTACTTTGAGCACTATTATACTCGTTGTTGTGATACTATACATGAAGTCCTCCACCCTCGGACGTTTCCGCCATCCCTGGTTTGGGGGTGTGACACTTTCCTTTCTCATACAGTAGTAGACATTATCACATGCTCCATTGGTTAATTTCGTAAGCCACAAAAGAAACTCTTTATACGTAAATCCCCCAAAATCCACATCACGTACATTTGTTTTTACGGGGTCTAAGTACACCAATGGGTTTGGCGAAAAGAATCCATTGTAATGAAAATCTAGAGATAAATACATACTTGTAGATGAGGATGTTATGTTAGCAGTCGACTTCAATTCCAAGCCCTAATCATCGATTTGCTGTATCGATTGATTTCTCACAGAAAAAGGTAATCGAGGTGTGTTTTGGACAAGCTGACGATGACGAACCCTAATTAAATGAGAAAGGGATGTAATGGCCACGTAAGATTCCACGTAATGTTTTTAACCGAGCTAAATCAATGTTACCAGCTAAAACAAGTAATAGCCGGTAGTTGGTTATTTTTTAATAGATGAGAAAAGTTAGTTGGGTAAAATGAGTAAAAAAAACAATATTACCCATATGTGAACATAAGAAATACTTAATTACCTTAACGAGTAAATTCCCTTAGGCAAACCACATGGACCGAGTATGTATTTTACTCGTAAAAACGAGAGAGCGGGAGTTTTTGATGCGAAAAGCGGAAAACTACGTCCCTTTATGTAAATAGAGAAGCTACGGGTTTTCTTCGAAGAGAACCGTGTTGTGTGCGATTGAAATCGAATAATTTTTGTATACACAGGCATGAAGAAATCCGAACAACCAAAGGCATCGAAACGCGAAGATGGAGTCGATTTGATAAGTGGTATGCCGGATCATATTCTTCTTCTGATTCTTTCAGGTTTGCCATTTATTGAAGACGCAATTCGAACCAGCATTTTGTCCAGAAGATGGAGGTATTTGTGGACTTCAGTCTCCTGTGTAGACATATACTGTTATCAAGGACGTAGGAATCCAGGAAACTTCAAAAGAAGTAAATTTAAAGAGTTTGTGTACTGGGTTTTAGTAAACAGGTCCGTTGATTTAGATATTTTCCGTTTATGTTGTTCGAATTACTACGGTATGTCTCTTATAGGGCGGTGGATTCACATCGCCGTTATGAAGAACGTCAAAGAGCTTGACTTGATCTGTACTCCTAAGGAGGAGGAGGATGTCGAGATGCCCCATTGTCTGGCGACTTGCGGTTCCTTGAAGGTATTAAGGTTAAATTTGGATGGATGTGGTCTGATTTTGCCTAATTTTATGGGGTTTCCGGCACTTAGGGTTCTTGACTTGACCTGTGTTGACTTATTGAAAGATCGAGATTTGGTAAAAGATTTTCTCCAAAGCTGCTCATCGCTTGAGGAGCTGAGTGTGGTAGAATGCTCGATATGGAAACTTGATCTTCTTTGTATTTCATGCCCAAACCTCAAGAAGCCGAGTATCACTAACCTTGAGAATGAGAGTTTGTGTAGTGGCGTTAAGATCTGTTGCCCAAAACTGGTGTTTTTGGATTTAAAAGGTCGAATAGCTTATAATTTTTCCTTTGAATGTTTGGATTCCTTGAAGGAAGCTGAGGTTGAGCCTAAATTGATGAGCAACCCCATAAGTGTGTTTCGTAGAATTTCTTATGTGTAATCTTTGTTGATCGACCTCTACTTCTTCTGCCAGGTAGATTCATCTCATTTGAGTATTTTTGTTGCGTAATTTAGTATACAGGTGAGAATATGATTGGAGATGTTTGAAAGTATCATTGATTTTTCATCAAATCTTTATCATCTAAGTATCTACACATGCCTATTTATTACCATGAAGAATACCTCCAAACCCTTACTTTCTGTCATTATCGTAGTGCATTGATGCTGCTGCATCTGATCTGGCTTTACCTAATCTGAAGACTTTGGTGCTAACCACAACTATGGATGCCTTCACCATGGATGACTTCAATCGAATTCTCAAATATTGTCCCAAACTGGAGTCTCTCAAGTTGACCATTAAACAGGTATTCTTCAGACCTTTACATAATCTTATTCTATGGAAAAAGCAATTCAGCAATCCAATAAGTTTTGAGTTGAAAACATTAATTTTGGATTTTTACTGCTCAAACAAGAAAAACATATGTTTTTGGTTGATGATGTAGGAATTTGCTTGGACTGAAGAGTGGGAGTTGCATAAAGGTGACACAAGAAGAATCTTTACTAGTGATCTAAAAAGGATCGAGTTTTTTGAATTCAATGGAGAAAAGCCAAAATTAGTTATTGATTGGGAAAATACAACATTGTTGGAAATGGTTTTTAGTTGGGTTAACAACTAACAAAGCAAAGTATTAGAGATTATGAAGGGAATTATCAAAGTGATCAATTTTTAGAAAGACTGATATTACAAGCTTTATGGTAAATTGCAAGTAGTAGATACCTATTCATGTGATTGGTAACTAGGTTTCTTCGTCTCATGTGGATGCTATTCACTTCTGAATTTTTGCTTCATGTTGATTTTTTTTAACTATTACTAGAAAATGCTTGTTTCATTCTATAGTTTTGTTCATATTCATGTATGTATGTATGTATGTATGTATGACCTGTTTTTCAGAACGTTGTATATATATGACATGTATGTATGTATGACAGATATGTACGTATGTATGTATGATATCATTGATATGACAGGTGCGAATGTATGCAACAGCTACATATGTATATGACACATATGTGTGTATGTATTTATGATAGGTATGTATTTGTATTCAAATCACAGCAGCTCATTCAGCAATCAAAAGTTAATTAAGGTATAGAGAGTAGAGACAGATGAAGAGTTAAACATATACCACAATCATCCTTATAGAAAATAATTCTGGAACCATGACTGATTTCTAGACCTAGATACTTGTGAGATTTTTATGAACAAAAATGACCTCACTTTGTTTTTCTGTATAAAGAAACATACGTGTACAGATACACAATTTTTAACTTATCGATTGAGTAAAACATATGAGTTTCATTTGACTGGATTTATACCCTGATTGTTGATTGAAGTAAAAATGCAATTCCCCATCAATTTTAATGGTAGAAAAAGAATTATACATATTTAGGTGACCATGTAAGTTGTAACATTGGGGATTTTAAGGTTGAGGTATACCATAAGTGAGAAATCAATCAAGTATCTTAAATCTTAAATAAGTGAATAAAAGAAGAGGTTCGATCGAGGTGAACTCCAATTTATGTTGCTGAGTGTGAAACTTGATTTGTATTAGTAGATCCTTGACAGTAAGTATATATATATCTATAACAGCAATGCTGCTTAAACCGTGTATGTATATAACACAAAAACAAGAATATATATATATATATATATATATATATATATATATATATATATTATATATATATATATATATATATATATATATATATATATATATATATATATATATATATATATATAGGAGTAAGATCAAATGAGAACACCTAAAAGGTTGAGAACGCGAGAACGGATCTGGACCATCAAAATATTCAGATCTGAGGCTATTATCAAACGGGTCATTTACGTAAATTCTAAAACCATAGGTATTAAAGTGTAACTTGTAAAAGGTCACAAAGCTATAATGGTAATTGTAATTTTAACTTGTTCCTATAATTTCTCAATCACATATCATATTGCCGTTCAAATTAATTGTCCCCCACTTCATTTCTTTCTCTCTCTCTATACCTAGGTTTTAATCAATTCCTCCCTCAGCCTCCCTCCATCGCACATTGTTTGAATCAATCCTAATCGGAGCATCGCAAGTCTCCACCTCGATGCATTTTTGGTTTAATACGTAGGAAGGAAGTGAAGGCAGTCGGCGATGTCTATGGTCGACCGTCGTGATGGCGGGGGGAGTGTCTCCGTGGTCGACGAGGCTGAAGAGGAGGAAAGGAGGAGGCAGCGAGGGGTGGGTTGTTGGTCTCGGTGGATCGAAGATGGGGCACCTTTGGTGATTGGCTGGATCGAAAAGAAGAAGAAAAGAGAATGGAAGCAGCGGGATGTGGGGTCTGCCATTGGTTTCCGGTGACAAAGCCCCGATATTGGGTTGTTTGGTGATCGAGAAGGGCAGCAACGATTCAAAAATAGGTAATGGTTCCTTTTTTTTGTTCTTGTTTGATTTGGCAGAACTCGATAGGGTCAAGTGGGTCTTTGAAGGCTCAAGTGGCAACCCTTACAATTGATGGAAGAGATAGCCACACAAAGTTGTAATCAGATTCAAGGTAAAAGGTTGTGCACATAAGCTGTTTGATGATATGCGTGAGAGGGGTATTCATTTATGAATAGCAGGGTATTCATTTGTTAATAACAATGTATTCATTTGTAAATAGCAGTGTAATCATGTGTGAATGAGTGTATTTTATTTATGATTAGAGGTATTGTTTTATTCATTTGTGAATACCAGGGTATTCATTTGTTAATAACAATGTATTCATTTGTAAATAGCAATGTAATCATATGTGAATAAGTGTATTTATTTATGATTAAAGGTATTCTTTTATGAATAAATGATAATTTTTACACCCCTTTTATTTTCAGTTGATTAAAAGAAAGGAAGTGGATTACTTGTAAATTGATATGTATTCATTTGTGATTGCAGTAGTATTAGTTTTTTTGAAAAAAAAAATTATTTATGAATACAAATGTATTTATTTGGGGTTGGATTTCTATTAACTTTTTTGAAAAAAAACGTGGAATATGAGAAAAAAAAAATTTTAGTTTTAATTTTTTTTTGATAAAAATGTTTTTTATATTTCATTAATAAGAAAAATAAAAAATCAAATATCTCTTTCTTTTTTGGTAACTGATCCTAAATTTAAGGGAATTTGATTGATTTTATTTTATTTTAATTTAATTAAAATATGCAATAACTTATATGCCCTTATATATTGATTGGTCCAGAACTGTTCTCGCGTTCACAACCTTTTAGGTGTTCTCATTTGATCATTTCCCTATATATATATATATATATATATATATATATATATATATATATATATATATATATATATGAGAAAAGTGAATATACTTTTGGTCCGCTATCCCGATCATGATTTTGCTACCCCCAGAGGGAAAGAGGGTACCTAAGATTAGCAACCCACTAGTTAAAACTGTGTGGTTTTGTTATTGACTTTATTTTAAAGAAAAATTGTTACGTAAAAACTTCATTCCTAAAAACACTGAGAACTACCGTATCCTTCCTAAAAACATTTAGGTTCCATCGTTTCTTCATTTTTGTTGATTCACCATCGATTAACACTTATACAAAAGGTTCCGACTCTTGATTTTGGCATCAGTTCTTCCATCAATGTTAGAGCTTCACTGTTTTTCGAATGCTTCCATGATTTCGTGATTATTTCCTTAATTTTTGTATTTCAGTGATCATTGATTTAGAAAAAACGTATATTGACATCCTGCTTCTACGAATTGGATATCACATAAATCATATATTAAACAAATGTTCAAGAAATCGGTTGTTATCACATTTCTGATTCAAGAAATCGGATTTCACACTGACTGATCACTTCTACTGATTTCCTTCATTCGAAAGATTTGATAATCATCGTTGTGAAGAAGAATAGGTTTTTGTTCATACGGAATTCACGTAAATTGACTACACCAAAAACGATTTCATTGAAATTGAAATTCACCAAAAACATTTTCATAGAAATCGGAATTCAACAAACACGATTTCATAAAAATCGAAATTGAATTCACGAAATTTATAGAAATCGGAATTCACACAGAATTGGGTTCGATCAGACCTTCTTCAGAAGCAAAAATCCCATGTTTTTTCAGTTGGTGTCGAGTTCAATGGCTCATATAAAACTCATTCCAAGTAAAGCATAGTCTGTTGTTTTTTTGGTCCGGGTCTTGATGATTTTACCCTTGAGCATCTTCATGTCGGAGTCCTTAAGGATTCTGTTACTTTATGTATCATTTATATCAAATATACAGGTATTTGCACCTTTGTTTCATAGTTTTGTTTTAGATTACTTATTTGAATGATGATTTCCTGAAGAAAAAAAAGATGGCCATTTACCCTCGTATGTTCATATAAGCCTTACTACAAACCACATTCCAGAGTGTGATTATGTGAATTTAATCACCAAAAAGTGTAAAATACATAAAAAAATAACATATCTAAACTATATACTATTCAAGATACTAGTTACTGTGAGATATATAAAGCAAAAACTAGATATTTTCTCATTGTATCCCCTAGTTACTGTGATATCCCGAGTGACTATCAATTAAAAACGTATTATAGATTTAGAATATGATCAAATGTTGTAATTTTTGTGAGCAGATGAAGTCGTTGATTATCCGAGTTATCAATTTAACCATAAAATCAGAAAGTGATGAACAACAAGAAAGAGACATCAATCTTTTTTCTCAAATTCATTCGGAAACCGGAAATAGAAGCAAAAACTTTATGCTTAAAACTAAAAACCCGATCAAACTACTTTCTTTCAAATTTTGTAGTAACACGGTCACTTAATTCAATCAACACCCGAAATTGCATTTTTTTTCCAGCAAAAGAATCAGTCTTTATGCATATTGAGACAGGATTTCACTAAGGCATTTAATCAAACACCTGGTGTACATTACTGTACATTACTAGAGACATTATATTTGAAAAGAAAATACACAAAAACTAATTACCATAGAATGAACCTGCTATCGTTCAAACACCCCAATCTATAGAAATTACCTAATGCGCACCTAGAAAAAATATTGAAGAAGATGAAATCAAAAAATGTCTCAACTTATCATCTGGTATTGTTCAAACACCCCAGCCGATTCTAAATAAGATAGGTTTGCTTTATTAATCTTCGTGATTAATATTATTGGGAAGAATTGATGCATATATGCAATAAAAAAAGCTCCAACACTGAACTACTGAAGGATTCACAAGACCTCCAAAATCAATCAAACTCACGAACCAGAGCACCTCCAAAAATCAGCCCAACTCACGGAACCAAAAGTAACTATATAATGGTTAATCGATGGCAAATCAGAAAAAATCAAGAAATCAAAGAAACTCAGTGTTTTTAGTGTAAGGATATGATAGTTTTCAGTGTTTTTATGAAGTATTCACGTATCGATTTTTATTTCCCACCAAAACACTATAAAACGACACAGTTTCGATTTTTGGGTTCCTAATTTTATATATATATATATATATATATATATATATATATATATATATATATATATATATATATATATATATAAATGATCATTTGAGAACTCATATATTCCCAAGAACCCGAGAACTAAATAAAAGTCGTTTGATCAAAATAATAGATGGCCAATATGATTTATGACATTTTCGTAAATAACTGAAAAAATAAAACACGGGGG